GCTCGATTTATTTTATTTTTTAATTTAATTTAATTTTTTAATGTCTCACTATGCAGCTTGAACTCATACTGATCGTCCTGTACTTAGCCTCCCCGGTGATCACAGGTGTGCACCACCATGCCCAACCTCCTTGGCCATCTCAGTGCACCAGGGGCGGGGCTGAGGGTACAGCATGTGGGGCCCGAGATTGAACACAGGTCGCTGGGCTTGCCTAAGCATCTCCTTAGTCTGCTGAGCTATCTCGCTGGCCCTAATCTGCTGGATTTCAGGCCAAATTTCAGGTGCAGCCTTCTCTGGAAGTCATACATGACAGGCCTGGTTTCTCAACATGAACGGCAGGACCACTGTGTCCTTTTCCACCCAAGTTTAAAATTATCAGTGATGTCTGTATCTGGCCTGTGCCCTCTCTGCAATTATCTCCTGTATCCATCTCCTACCCAGTCACTGTGGTAAGGGGATCCAAATGACCCTGAAGTGTAATTGTTCTGTAGTTCAGTCCTCAAATGGTTTTTCATTAAAACCTATTAAATGTGCTTTTTATGACCTTTTTGTTTGTTTGTTTTTTAGAGTCGGGGTTTTACTATGCAGTTCAGGCTGGCCTTGAAATTACTTTGCAATCCAGGCTGGCTTGTACTCACTGAAATCCTCCTGCCTCAACATTCTGTATACTGGGACTATTGGCATGTGCCACCGCACCTTGTATACCTTGAATCAAGATGTCTCCTCAAAGCCCCATACACTGTCATGGGTAGGAAGTTTCAAAGGTGGCTGAATTAGGGTATTTGAATGTAGATTAATGGTGTGATGCTGGGGCTAAGGGATGAGTAATGGAAGCTTGCCCTGGCTATGAGTGTCACTAATCACCTTGTAGCCTGGGTGGCATACAGAACGACAGAAAGTAGGCAGGCTTGCTGCTGCCGCTTGCTGCTGCTGCTACTGGCTGCCTTCTCCTTGCCGTGCCAGTGTTTCTCCTCTGTGATGCCTTTCTGCCAAGAGTCAGAACTGGCCAACTGTGGCCTGAAACCTCTGTGTACCATGAGCGGAAATAAATCTTTTTCTCCTTTGCTTTGAGCCATGGGTATTTTGTCTCACCATTGAGAAAAGGAAGATAATGGCAGATTCTGTTCAGGATTTCTTCTCCAACTCTAGCCTGTCATGTAGAAAGAGTTACTTTCAGACTAACACCCCACCCTATATATTTCCTTCTTTCTTTCTTTAGGTACCTAGAATTGAACTCAGGGCCTTGCACTTGCCAGGCAGCATTTGTGCTGCTGGGCTATATCTCCACACATACTGTTTTCACAGTTTACAACAACCATGGATTTTGAGGGGCTAGCATTGCTAGCCAGGCCTGTTATTTCTCCCTGGAGCTACTGACCTTCTGTAGGCTTGGCTCATGTTAGTGGAGACAGGTTCCCTTTTCTTGGAACTAGGGTTAATTTTCCACACTGCTGTGTTTGTTTTCTTTGTGTAGTGATCCATTTCTTTAGCTTCTCTATAGCTTCTAGTTTTCTTATCAGTTTCTTTAAGATTCTTAGAAATGTACTTTTCTTTTCTTCACCAAGTTGTTACTTCCGGGTGTCTTGATTCCACATCCTGGGTCCGTACTTTGCTGCTGTTATGTGATAGATTCTGATCCTAGTATGAATTGCTAAAATCATCATGGTGGTCATCTAGTACAGCTGAAGCCTTTACACTAAAGACCATCTTCCCCAAGACCACCTCTCCCTTTTTCTCCAACTCAGCCCAAGACAACTTACTTCCACCCTTCCCACCACCTCAGGGAAGGGCCCAATCAGCTCCGTCAGGTATATCTAAACATCCCTCTCAAACCCCACCCCCAGCAAAAGGCCATAAAAGCCTCAGCCTCCCTTGGTTCCAATCAAGAGAATTCCTCATCCTTCCCCACATACTCTCCTTGTCCTCAAAGAAAATAAAGCCCCTTTCCCTTCTTCCTTCTGCCTGTTTCTCTGCTGCGATGAGTACTTGAAAAAAATCTATCATTGTGCAGTCTGCTATTTCTAATCTCATAAAATCTGTTTGTGGTGATTGGGAGTCTAACTCAGAGGCTTGCAAACACTGGAAGCATTCCACTGAGCTGTGGCCCTGTCCTCTTCTCATGAGTATTGTTATCTTTCTCCCTCTACCAGAGCGCCAGGCTCCACCAGTCTAGGGGCTTTGTGTTCAATTGATTCTCTGGTGTTTCCCACGTGTCTAGAATGGTGTTTGCTACATGATTTTCTGTTGAATTGAACTGGCTGCTGATCATTACCTCTCACACGCAAAGTAACAGCTGTGGGTTTTGCCCTCCATGTAGCTGAAATAGTGAAACAAAAACACAATCATATAAATAAAATCTCCAGTCTCATAATGAAATATTCTTCTGTTTAGTAAAATTTATAGGAGGCCAATGGTTTGGACTGAGCTCTTCCAAGAGACCAAATGAACATGAAGTTACTCAAACTAAAGCTCTATGTCAGCAAAAATGGAAAGTTTAAAATCTGGCCTTCCAAGGAATCACAAGAGTGACAATATTCCAATTGCCAAATAATCCGTATCTAGCTGAACTGATAAGGAGTTTCTGTTTGCTTTAACTGCTAAACGGAAGCTGACTTTGGAATAACCGATCCCTTTTTATTCCCTGTATGTAATTTTTTAAAGCTCTTTTCAGCCTGCTCAACTCATTGTGACATTGGAGTAGCTGTGTTCTAGGATTTCCAGTAAAGCCAAGTACACTGTTAAGCTAATTTTGCTAAAATCATTTTGCTTTTTAAGCACTCTAAACGCAACCACGGGGCTAGTGAGATGGCTCAGTGGTCTAAAGCACCTACTTAGAACAAGCTTAGCAAAGCACAGGGACCACGGTTCAATCCCCCAGCACCACATGCCAGCCAGCCCCGCCCCCTGGTGGGCTGAGCTGGCCACACACACACACACACACACACATAAATAAATAAATAAAATTAAAAAAAAAAATAGACGCAACCACAAAGGGGGTGGGAACAACTCAGCAAAATAAATATGTATGACAGCATCAATTTTATCTTTTTTTTTTTTTTTTTTTTTTTTGGTCTTTTTGGGACAGAGTCTAACTACATAGCCCAGGTTGGCCTTGAACTCACAATGGTCCCCGTTACCTCAGCCTCCCAGAGTTCTGGGATTACAGGCATGCAACATCCACCAGGCTGTGGGGTATTTTTTTGTTTGCTTTTGAGGGGGTCTCACTATGCAGTTCAGGCTGGCCTTGAGCTCACTTTGTAGCCCATGCTGGTCTGGAACTTGAAATGATCCTCCTGTCTCAGTCTCCCAAGTGCTAGGATTACAAGTGTGCAGCACAATGCCTGGCAACTGCATAAAATTTAATCTTCGCTGTAATAGAAACATCACAAAACAGAATGCAAACTACAAATTTAAAATCAGGGAAGGCCAGATAGCTCAGCAGACTAAAGTGCTTGCTCAGGCAGACTCAGGGACCAGGGTTCGATCCCTGGAGTGCCATGCTGGCCCCACTCCAGAGGTGTGCCGAGACAGGGATAAGACTACGCATGGTGGCTTGCACCTGTAATAAACAGGAGGATCACTAGGAGTCCAGTCTGTGTAGTGAGACCCTGTAGATCCTGTTCTAAATACAAAAATAAATAAAATAAAATCAGATTGCAAGCTGTGAGGCAGAGGCAGGATCACTGGGACTTTGAAATCACCCTGGGCTACGTCATGAGTTCAAGACCAGCCTTTTCTATATGGTGAGACTCTGTCTCAAAAAGCTAAGAATAAGCCTGGAATGGTGGCACACACATGTAATCCCAGCACTTGGGAGACTGAGGGAGGAGAATCGCTGAAAGTTTGAGATCAGGGTAGGCTACACAAAGTGAGACCTTGTCTCAAAAATACCAGCAGCAACAACAACGATAAACCCAAAATATACAACATGATATAAAACATTACAATAAAAGCTAGATGTAGTGGCATAGTCCTGTAATTCTAGCTACTTTAAGAGGCTGAGGCAGGGGGCTGGGGAGATGGCTCAGTAGAATAAGTGCTTCCCTGGCAAGTGCAAGGGCCTGAGTTCAATCCCTGGTTCTAAAAAAAAAAAAAAAAAAAGAGGCTGAGGCAGAAAGTTAGAATTGGAGGCCAACCAGGGTCAAATAGCAAGTTCTAGGGCAGCCTAGGCTACTGGTCAGCCTGGTTTATATAGCATGAAAGAAGATCTTATCTCAAACACAGAGGGTGAAAAATATGGAAAAATAATTCACAAAATAACCAAAATTAGGGGAGATGGCTCAGTAGAATAAGCGCTTGCCTGGCAAGCCCAAGTGTCTGAGTTCAATACCCAGTTCCGCAAAAAAAAAAAAAAAAAAAAAAAATCAAAATTAGATAAACCAGCTTCCAATCTTGCTAATATGGAAATGAAAATTCAAACCATGCTGATGTCTCATTGTTCTCAAAACAAAATTTAGGGGCCAGATATGGTGGTGCATGCCTGTAATCTCAGCACTCGGGAGACTGAGGCAGGAGGATAATGAGGTGGAGGCCAGCCTGGCCTACGTGGTGAGCTCAAGGCCAGTCTGAACTATGAAAGACAGCTTGTCTCAAGAAACAAACAAACAAAAACAAAAGAAAAAGAACAAAAGAAAAGTTTAGGGAGCTTTCAGGTTAGCTCACTTGTTTAAGCACCTGCTCATGCAAACGCAGTCCGGGGAAGGATACCTCAGTTTGATCCCCACCTCCACCTGCCTTAGTAGACACATCCATAAGGCAGCCTGAGCCAGCCAAAAAAATCCTTCTAGAGACTGGGCATGGTGGTGCGTGCCTGTAAGCACAGCTCTTGGCAGATCATTATGAGTCCAATCTAGTAGTGAGACCCTGAACACCCTGTAGACCCTTCCCTAAAATACAAAAAAAAAAAAAAAAAGTTTAATTTTTCTCTAGTCTAGTAACTCTACTTTTACGTCCTTGTTCTCCAAATTAAAGACCTGCACAAATATATATGTCCATGGATATTTATTGCAGTAATATTCCTGAAAACAATCTAAAATTTCAACAACAGAGATTTAAATAACATAGGGAATATTCTACAACTATTCAAATCATGTTTTTGTAGAATACTCAATGATTTAGGAAATGCTTAGGTTTAAAGTTTAAAAAAAAAATCACAAAAACCAGTGTGCAAATCTGTACAGAAAGGATTCCAAAATTTAAAATACAAATACATATAGATACATATATACATACACTACAAGTGGAAAAATGAAAAAAGAACATATAAATGTTAGCACTAATTATTTCCATATGGTGGATTAGGAGAGATTCTATTCTTGCTTTTGAATTTTTCAGTATTTTTAAATTTCTCACCAAATTAGGTATATTACTTTCACATTTAGAAACATAATAAATAAATGTTAACACAAACAATAACACACAGTGAGATTAAAGAGGTTTCAAAGATGCAAACACAAGCATTGCACATTTGGAACATCTTTTGTTTGATTTATAGATGGCTAAATCTTCCAGCTAAAAAGTTTTTGCTCCCAGTAGATGTGGTACTAGTGTTTTTCCCTTGACTGGACTTGGATACTGGATCCACCGCCGAGTACCGGATTTGGAAGCCCCCTGCAGTCACTGAAGCGTCACTCAGAAACTTCAAGGTCATGACGTTTCCTGTGGGGGAGGGGTGGACAGAGGAGCAGAGCCGTTACTTCCGTTTGATCTGCCCGACAATTCCAAGTCTCCTCACTCTCATAGGAGAATCTAAGAAATTAAGAACTAGGCTCCCAGAACTCAGAGGTGGAGTCTCAAGTTTTAGAATCTGTGGCTTCTTTGACAAGTAGAACGTGTGAGAGACTTTTACTGCTGCAACTATCTGTCCTGCAGCAAAATCTGTCCTTGGGGGCTAGGAGTGCCAACAGTGGCACTTGTGTAACATGCAGAGGCCCTGGTGTGATGCCCAGCACTATAAACAACAATGCATAGTTCTCTTCATAGAAAGAAGGACTACTTGGAATTATGGGAGAGCAGCGAGTAGCTCAAACTAGTGTGATGTAGATGAATTTTCTACTAAATTATGGAAATCCACAAGATATATATATAT